AGCATCACCATGAGTTCCGCGGGTGTGAGCATATCGCTCTGGCGCGTCCGTGGTTGGTTGGACGTTCCGATTGCAGATGGCGGGGAAGCGACAACGGTGGTGAACAATGAGCGCACGATCGCCTGTTCTTCGGGCTTGCCGTTAAGGATAGACACGATACGTGGTAGGTGCTTCACCACGTCCGCCTGCGCGCGAATCAGTCCACGCTCCCGAAACATTATACGACCTCGACATACCTTGTCCATCTCGGCCATAATAGGTATTAAGAACCGAGCATCCAGGTCGCGTTCTGCAACCAGGCCCTTGACGACCGCCACGAGCGGCGCCGTCGGCTTCGCGTTCTCCGTAAAGATATTGAGCACCCTCAGCGCAAGGCTATCCGCGCCCGGCGGGAACGTGCGCAGAAGCGTAAGCAGCTTGCCGTGGTTCGGGCCCAAGCTCTTCACAAGCTGCGTGATGAGGTCCTGCATGGCCTCCTGCACGCTCGCCTCCATCCGCCCATACGCAGCAAATATCTCGTCCAGCAGGTCCGGCACTTTGATACACAGCGCGAACACCAGCTCGACGTGCTGCAGGACGACCGCCCGGTCCGCAGGCCCTTCGAGTTTCACGGGAACATACGCCGGTATGGAGTCGTCGGCTTGCTCCTCTTCCTGAGGTAGTTGCCCATCCTCGTCCGAATCCTCTGTTGTCGGCTCGGGTTTCGGTGGTGCGGGAATGACGCAGAGACGGCGCAACATTTGCAGTGCGAAACGCTGCACGAGCCTGTCCATTGGCTGAGTATCTGGAACCCAGCGCTTGACGGTGATGATCGCAGCATTGCGGGTGATTCGCTCTGCGTGCACGTCAGCAAGAAGGTATCCCCACGCCACACTTATGAGACGCACCTGGGTGGGTGGTCATATCCAGTAATATGGCGAGCGCAGCCTTGCGCACTGGCATGCGCAAAGCGACCAGTTCGCGCAGCGTCGTGAACCCAACCTGCATCCTTTCCAAATCTCAGCACGAGTTGCCACCTGTCCACATATCAATGCACTCACTTGTCCTGGTCGAGGCACAGGTCGCGCATAAAGTGCAGCAACTCATCCGACAATTCGGGCAGGTCCAGCAAGAACCGCGCAAACGTGCGGTCCTTTGCATCCAAGCGCGAGCGGTACCCATCGAGCAGTCTTCGCAGCCACACACCGTAATGTTGCACCTAGATGGGACGTCAAAAATACCGTCTATTGCATGTTGGTTCGGTGGACATACAACGTCCGCATCGCGCTCCCGCTGTATCCTGTCGTTGTACCACTCCTCGTTCATCCACAAATTCGCCAGCCGCACTCTGGCGAGCGACGTCGTGAGCGGTCCAAGTTAACCAATTTGAGTACGTACCTCGATGGCAAGTCTTCCAATACGTACGCACAGAGTTTTTCGCGCATGGCGTTGCGTCCTTTCGGCCGGCCGTCCACCTGCATATCGTTCTCCTCTACAGCGTCGTACTCCTCCAACCCAGATCGCGTGATACTCCTCACGAGCAAGACCGCCTGAAGCTCGGCGCCGCGCGTCATCGTCTTGGGTCCATCCACCTCGCCGCTGGCCGCGTCCACCTCGCCTGCCGCCTCGTACGCTCTGCGGTCGATCGTCGCGAGCGCTTTGTCCCGTTGCGCTTGGGACAATTTTACGGGCGGCGGGGCGACGAATTCTGCGAGACGCAGTATCGCCTCGGGCTCGGGTTCGCCAGGCGCAGCGGGAGCCACTGCATCTCCTGTCACCGCGAGTGCAACCTGCTTATCCACGCGCTCGGAGTCGAAGTTGGTGATTTCAGCCTCGTCGTCCATGTCCATCTTGAGTGGGTCCAACGGCTCCGTCTTTACCACGACAGGTTGGGCCGCAGCCTCTGTCGTCGAAGGACCTGGTACTGGAGCAGCTGCTATCCCTTTGCTCTCGTTGTATTTCTGAGGAGCCGTCAGTAAATGACTACGTAAAGTTGGAGTGGACGTACAGCAACAGCAGCGAGCAACCGCTCCTCGGGGATCTTCTGCAAGTTGGCGATGATGAACTCGACCACGAGCGGCGCGGGGAGGATGCTAAAGTCGAACTGCGCCAGTTGGGCCGCGGACAACGCAGGGGCGGCGTCCGCGTCGAGTTTCGGACGCTTGTTCGCGCCGTTCTGCCCCGCACTCTCGTCCGCCGCGCGCTTCTTGCTCGTCACTTCCGCCGCCTTCATCCGCTGCTCCTGCGCGTGCAGCACGGGCCCGATCTCGTGCTGGAACGGGGCACCGTGTGGTGATCGGTTGATGTGCAGCAGGAGAATCCGCACGGCCTTTTCCACGCTCTTGACGTCGCGGGGAGACGCGCCGGCGGCGACGAGTGCCGCGGGCGTCCATGTCGTGAGCGCCCTGACGCAGATCGGGAGAAGGCCCGGTCGATGCTTGACGAGCGGCGCCCAAGAGTTGACGAGGGAGCTGATCAAGTCCGCGCTAGGAGACGAGAAGAGCAGCGTGAGTACGAGCTGGATAAGCGTATTTCCTTCCGCTTCCAGCGCTCCGGCGTTGATGAAGGGGTGGTTGCTCGGGCACGACGTAAGGTTCGGGTCCGCGGTGTTTTGCAGCTGCGACGCGTCAGAGTCATCCAAGGTGGGTCAAGGTGCTCACTCTAGGATCGGACACGCCACGCGTCTGAACCTGAATAACGCGGTGGACGAACTTGAGCGCGGCCTCTTTGACTCCTAACGGCGTCGCACTTTCGAGCAAGTCGACGATCTGCTTCTTTGCGCGCGTCAAGGTGTCCCACTGCGCGATAGGATTGCGATTTATGCACCTGCGGGTGATTAGAATGGACGATATGAACGGCCCACGCTCCTTACAGCGTGCGAAAGAGAAGCGGGTAGACGTTGGCGAAGATCTGGACGACGGCTTTGACGGTTTGCTGGCTCGGATCATTGAGCAAGTTCATGAGCACGTCGAGACACTGCGCGGCGACTGTAAAGCATAAGAGTTATATTTAAAACCGCTTATACGAGACACACGTTGGGATTTTGCGTCTACGGGCAGGCTCGAACGCGACAGCGCGTAATGCAAGAGGTCCAGAACCCAGTGTTTCATGAGCGAGTCGGCCGCGTGGGCAATAGTGGGGACCAGCATGGTGCACAGAGGGTGGATGAGACCGGGCTGGAGCTCGAGCTGGGCGCGCAGTTGACCCAGAACATTGCGCTGGTCGTCCGAGCCTTGCGGCGCGCTCAGTGCCCTTTTGAGCACCTCCAAGGGATCCATGGCGACTCTAGAGGCCAAGTCAACGGTCTATGAGTCCAGATGAAGCGCGCTGAGCGCCAGGGCGAGCAGAACGATTGTGGTCGGAGGCAAGACGCGACGCGCGGAGCCCGATTATATTTCCCAACTTCAGCTCGTTTCCATCACTATTGTTACATTGATTAAGTTGAGTCCAGAGGAACTTTCAGGCCGTGCCTCAACGAGGTTTGAATAATTACTGTGAACATATGTATGATTCCGAATCAACCAGTCTAAGGACGGGAACGCGACTAAACGCAGGCGGGACTCTTGCAATTGCCGGTCTCAGTGCTCTACCAAGTCCTGGACCACCGGATAGGCAGAGAGCCGCGAGATCCACAAGCAGTACGCGAAAGAATTTTTGTGACTAGGGTCTGACCTTGAGCATCACGATTACTGTACTACAAGTAATTATTACCGCCCGAGATTCTGCGTTACGCCGTGAGGCATTACCGCCACCTCAGCGTGACGCGTTACATGTTACCGTATACTGTTGCAAGTCCTTCGAATAGTGAGATGAAGCAAAAGACCGCAGGCACTACTAGATGTTTAGGGAACTCACGCCCGCCAGAAGGCGGACTTCCCGACTGGTGCAACAGCTCGTGACTGTTACCTTGTCTCCCTCAGACGTCAGAGAGCATATATAGGACTAGTAATGCTTAAGAAAGTGCTCAGGCTATGTGTTATATCGCATGAATTCACCTGTGCCGCGGAGCGGCTCGGAAAATTTGAGTCCGGCACTCATCTGCGCGTTCTCACCGCTGTGACAAGCATTACCGTGGCATCACCGTTACGCGTTACAACGGCTACTTTATTACCTTACCGCCAGTAGGGTGTGACACGTTACGCGGTAATAATTACTTGTATTACAGTAGTCACGAGATCGAGAGCAAATTATGAGTAGGTCGATGCGCGACGGCGGGTTGGACGCCGACAGCAGACGTTCAAGTTGGGGCCACATGTCGAGTGTTGGAGAACCTGAAGCCTACACGCCGTAGCTGTTGCGCCGATTTTCGTCACGAAGGTGAAGAGGCTTGAAGAAATTTAACGACAAACGACCAACGACCAGGTGGAGCTCTACCTTGTACCTGTTCCGGTGCTGAGGTCGACACTCACAAGCAAGTAGCGAGAGAAAGTGACGATGATCGGTATAGAAGCAGGGTATTCAGACATGGAGAGTAAAGGAGTCGCATCTGCCCTGCATCTGCCGCGAACGTTCGCTAAACATTTTCACGACCTGGAGTCTATCGACCCGCCTTGTATACGCACAGAGAACAATGCCGCCTGCTTGAAAGCTAGTTAGTTCAACGCACGTAGACCAGCAGTTATAACAAAATAGTCAGAAGGAAGGCAACGGAAAAATCCACATGGGGTATGCGCTCTCGGACAACTCGAGCAAAGCTCTTTTACATCCGTAGTATATCATCATACGGGGGAATGGAAAGTCCGAGAGAGGGTACGCACAAGTCAAGATTACAGCCGCGCGGACAGAGAGGCCTGAAAAGTCGATGATGATGGACACAGAGAAGAGAGGAGCCAGCTTTCATCCGTGACTCTCCGCTCGCGTCGATCAGTCCGTTCCCAGACCCCAACATCACACCCAAACGGTGCCGATGCCCCGCTCCAGTCAATGTGTTATAGACCCATATCTCCCCGGCGTGTAACAGGTTTCGTCGTTACAAAGCCGCAAAGCGTTTAATAATGGCAGAAAGTTGTCCTATGGAAAAGGACGCGATGGCCGAGTGGTTAAGGCGATTGACTCGAATCCCGACATCAATTTCCCTCTGGGAGCGTAGGTTCAAGTCCTACTCGCGTCGTTTTGCTCGCCTGCTATTGCTTCAATGTTATTGAGGGCTTTCAGTTTGATGTACTCCTGCATTGTTTTGAGTCGGTGAGCACCAGCTGCAGAGCGATCGGGACCTCCTAGCGACGCCGGACTTTTCCGTAGTGTAACATGATCACGCGAAGTTTTCAGGTCAACTTGATCTGACAGGTCCCAAAACGGACGGTAAGTCGGCAGAGCATTAGACTGTGCTGAGGAGGAGTGCTGTAACTTCAGTTTCTAGTTGATCCGAATCATACGGTCTCGCCATGTGACAAACGCTAGTACTACACTCTCTTCGACGTTCCTATCGGTAGATCCACCAACTCGAAGTATGAGTTACGGCATCTCACACTGACCATGGACTTTATTATACGATGCTTGTTACTTGGAGGACACGACTCGCGGGGTGTCAATAAAAACGTTCAGGCTCGCAGTCGGACCGGTCACGACCAAGAAGAAGGTGGGAGACAACGGTCCAGGGCTACGGGGAGTGAAAAATCGACTTACGCTCGCGAAAGGAGATCCGGCCGTTGATCTTTACGTGTAAGGTGCACTCTGCCACATGGACGGTGCATGTTGTTGCTCGGCTACTGACGCCCTCGGACCGGACGCTGCAGGACTAGTATTGGCCCCTACTACTCATCGTAGAGAGGTTGATCCATCCATGCATGCCGCAAAGGGAGTCGCATGTCTGTGTGCAGATGTCCTGACAGTTGCAAACAAGTTGCCTGAAAGCAGCTGGCGACGGCTCGGATGAGTCAACGCCTCAGCACGTAACTGTGTCATGATCGTTGAGCCCGGCTACACAGAGTACGCTACACTACTCCTTCCCGCAGCAGCCTATCTTGCACGCAGGGAAGACCGAGCGTCGCGGTTGGCCTGTCGATTAAGCCTCCAAGTGGAATTGTGAAGTCGTCGAGGGTGCGAGGCGCACGTTCACGGCAAGGCCCCATCTCGAAGTCCTCGACTTCAGGACTGCACGCCAGACTCTGGGAAGAATGGAGAAGTGTGCTGTGAGATCCCCCCAAAGCGCGAGTAGAACCCACAGTGCGAAGGGAAAGGTCCGTCTTGGAAAACAAGAGAGAAGCACAGGGACACCAAGGCACTTCTGAGAAATGTTGACTTTCGCAATCTTTCGCAATCAGAGACAGCTCCAGAGGGCTTGTCAATCGATTGCCGGGTATTCCGTGTGTGAAGATACAAGAAATGCGCCAGACATTGGGAAATCGCCTTCATGTTCAGGCGGGAATGAGGTCGCGCAGAAATTGTGCAGCACAGACAGGCCAAGGCGAGTAAATACGGATGCATCCCTCACCACATCTTGCGAGTATAGTGCAGGACTTTGCCAGATGACCGCGCGCGGGGATGACGACGGCAAGGACGCTGCGCCGAAGGAGAGCGTCTGGGAGAATGACGGAATCGCTGCAGATCTATCCCTCGGTTTCCATTTGCTTCGTCAGGGTTAGGAATGGCTGACAGAACGTGTCTCGGAGAATTTGTGGTCGTGTGCAGCTAAGCGACGCCCGTGCGCTTGTTCCCGCCAAAGCAGAGGAGACTGCAAGCGCCAGACTGGACGAATGAGGTGCTGCCGAGGCCGAGCGATGGCCTTATCGGACGTTCCCATGCTCTTTCTGCCCTGGAGAATTGTGCTGTCTAAGATGGGTCGCGATACTGAAGCGTGGCAGAGTCGTCCGAAGACACGAGCCAGTTTCACGCTGGCCGAAAGCAGAAAATCAGATGGGTCGGGCGAGTATAAAGAGGAGTCTTGGCTGTAGAGAGTGTCGTCATTCCAACTGAACTGGACGACGAGCAGGACAACGCGCCGCGGAGTCTATCGAGTAGTAAATCCGAGGACAAGCTGTCACGGGCGGACTCGGAATCCGGACTTGCGCCTTGGACGCACTTCATTCCTGTGCTTTTGTGCCCAGACCGTTCCCCACGACGATGCCAGCCTCCGCCTCGCTCTACGACGTGCTCGGCGTGCCCGCGACGGCGACGCCAGAGGAAAGTGAGTAGCCAGCACGCGGTCCGCGTCGTACACGAGGCTGACGCATGACCCCGCCCCAGTCCGCAAGGCCTACAGACGTGAGCGCCAGTCTTGGCTGCCGGCACCCGCGTGGCTGACGAGGCTCCAGGACGTGCGCTGCAGACCCACCCTGACCGCATTGGGCCCAATGCCTCAGCCGACGACAAGCAGAAGGCCGAAGACAGCTTTCGCAAAGGTCAGCCCGCAGCTCGCTCAGGTCTAGTGCTTATCGCTTACTTTCTTGACAGTGAACGCCGCGTACGAAGTTCTCAACGACCCTGCGAATCGAAAGGTGCGACCGCGGAGTGGCTAAGCAACAAGCGCCGGCGACTGACTCGCTTTCCAGCTCTACGACCAGCATGGCGTGTGGCCCCCGCCAGAGCCCGCGACCGAAGACGACCGACCGCACCGCCAGCGCCATAGAAGCTTCAGCGGGAGCAGTCGCCACCACAGCAGGACGCACAGACAGTCGCCACCGCCCCCAGGCTTCCCCGACCCGTTTGCAGGATTCTTCGACACCCCGTTCTACCATCCGCATCCATACGTCTTCACCGACCCCTTCGAACTGTTTCGACGTGTGTTCGACAACGACCCGTTCTTTGCGCGCGATCCATTCTTCGCCCACGATCCATTCCTCACCCAGGCTGGCCCATTCTCCCGGGCCTCGCCATTCGACCGCGCGGACAGAATGTTCGACCACGCGGACAGAATGCTGGCTGCCGCATTTGCAGACCCGTTCTTGCAACCACTTGGCGATGCCCGCGGCATCTCGTCGCACACCAGCTCTTTCAGCTCTCGCACAGGCGGTGCTGGGGAGCGACACATTAAGACCATCACTAACGGCCGCGTCGAGGAAGTTCATGAGCGTTGGGACGGCCAGGTGAGTTTGGTCCGGGACGCGACGTACACAGAATATTCGAAACTGACTGCGACTTTCAGGGGAACCACTACGTCACGCGTACCCGCGATGGTAAGACGACGCACACCGTCAATGGCATCGAGGGCATTGAGGGCCCGAAGGCCGTCCCGCCGCCGCCTTCGTCGCCCGCTAATCTGCCGCCTCCGCCACCTTACGCGCCTCCCCCACTGTCAGCTTCATCCAGCCGTAGACACAGGCGCGAGTCACAGCCCGTCCCGCCGCCGCCTCCACCACCGCCGCCGCCGTCGTATGCGTACCCGGACTACGCACGACACCCGCGTCCGTACGGCACGCCACCACCTCCACCGCTTCCGCCCTCCGTCCCAAATGCGCCTCCGCCAATGGCCTACGACGAGCACCATCGCAAGAAGCATTGGTGGAACCGCTTGAAGTAATCCACCGTATCCCCACCCCCACATTCCACATCGAGTTGCTTGTACGAGTGTACTTCCCGCCGTTGACGTGCCCTAGTTCTGCTGTGTTGTTATTCCGGATCCCATGCTCTCCCGCCTCTACGTATCGCTATCATCCCGTCGCCCGTGGCGCGCTGTCTTGCTTTGTGTTCTCCCGAGCCTCGTCTGTCTCCGTGTGTCATTAGGACATGTAGAAAATGTGTAGAAGAGTGTTGTATGAAAACTTGGTCGGTTCAAAACGTCGACTGCAAGCCTCAAGTTCGCATGATCACTCCGTTTGGACGTTGTCACTCTAGATTGATGTCTGGGGTCCGGTATGCGCAAACGAGGAGAGATGGAGGGAGGGAGAGCGGGAGCAGCGCGCGCGCGTGCTGCTAATCAGCGACTATCCGAACGAGATGGAAACGAATCCCCAACCAAGAACCTAACGAACAGTGCGACGAACAAGAAAGAAAGAAAGGAGGGAACGAAGTAACAAAAGTGACGATAGGAAGGAAAAGAGCCGTGTCTCGTGGCGTGGTGCGTGCGCGAGAAGGGTCGTGATCGAGAGGCAGAGACAGAGAGTATGTAAGCGAGTGTTGCAATGAGGACCGGGACCGGGACCGTAACCTGATGATACTACACAATATAGATGATGCCGAGGGGGAGCAGGATGGAGGGTAGGGTAAGTCCATGCGGTGGAGGGAAAGCGACGGGAGCGAAAGCGTTATGTGAACGGCCTAGATGAACCCCGCGGTTCGCGGCGCCTGCGCGACGTGCGGGAAGCCGGGCGAGAGCGGCGACTCGACGCTCGACGCCGCGTATCGGAGCTCTGTGTCTAGCAACGTCGCGGCCGCCGTAGATGCAGCAGAGGTGTTGATCGTCGGGCCCGTGATGGGTGTCGGTGGTATGCCTGCGGAATGGCTCGAAGAGGACGCCTTCCCGATGAACCAAGACGGGACCCATCCACGGTCACCTCCCTGCTCCTTCACCGCCTGCAGTTTGCATCATAGTCAGCGACCAACCGCGGCGCGAAACTGTAAGGAGGATACGCACGTAAGACCAATGGTTATACCGCTTGAACACGCGCAACGCATCGTCCTTGTGCAGCTCGAGCTCCTCATCACCCTTTTTGTGATAATCCATCAGCGCTACGCCGGGGAAGCTCGTCGAGATGATGCTGAGCGGCAAGATCGGGTTCTTGCCGGCCACCGCACTCGGGCTGGCCGAGCCTGCAGCCTCTGCGACAGCGGTTGCGACGGGGACCTTCGTCTCGAGCAGGCAGCCGGCTGGTACCCATCCCGCTCGTCCATTCTCCTGGTCCACGATACCTGAGCCTTGCGGATCACACTGCACGTTCCACCAGCCGCGTGCGCGATGCAAGATGATGTAGTAGTCGCCGCTGTAGGTGTAGATCGACAGATCATCAGCAAAATGCGAGCCAGGTGATCAGGGACTGTACGCACACAACGACGTCGAGCTCGTCGTCTTGCTCCGCCATGTACGGATATATCGAGACAGCGTACGAGATGCCGGACGGTGTGATGACCCAGTCCTCGTCCGAGTTACTGTTGCCCGTGTGCGTCCGCGACTTGCCCGTGCCCGCAGCGGGCGCGGATCCGCTCGCCTCCTCCGTTGGCACCTCGGCATTCGCT